TTTCTTAAATAAAACTAGTTTATTCTTTCACAATACAACTTTGAAATTCACTTAAGTTCCACGGTCACGCTATAACTTAAACAAACGCTATAATTCACAACAACGACACACGCGCTCGACCCAACTGTCCGTCTTTATCTCTGTCTGCAATTCAACTGCATTCCATTGTTGCCGTCACTTCTTGGCGGTCTTATATACATGAATAACGCATATCTAGTAAACACTCGAGCCTTCACGATCCTTCGAGAATATGACGTGTTACTGGGGTCACGTGACCCCGCTGTCGTAACAATACCATATTGTTTAGGTGCTGTTAAGAAGTGTTATGGAATCTGATTAAATATGTTACAAATGACTCAAATTTCTCCAATACTTGCGTAAAATAAATTTACTTGTACAAAGTATCTCAATAAGTGCTATATCAGACACAGATCCAAATATTTCACGAGCACACACCGACTAATTCAACTTTATATCTTGAAATAGTTCTACACATTTCTCAACTGCACCTCTTATTTATATTTTGATGTCAAGTTAAAACTGTTTAGGCGTTCTACTAGAACTATTTTAATATCACGCGCCCTCTAGCCAACATACAAATTATAACATTAAAAATATAGCTTGCAAAAATAAAGAAGAAAAGCACAGAACATCTTAATGATTTTAAAAAAAATTCTTTGTTTGTTTGTTTTAGAGCAAAGTCACATTGAGCTATCTGTTGTATCCACCGAGGGGAATCAAACTTGGGATTTTAGCGTTTTAACTCCGTAAAGTTATCGCTGTTTCAACAGGGGACTTAAAAAAGATTTGTTTGTTTTTGAATTTCGCGCAAAGCTACACGAGGGCTATCTGCGCTAGCCGTCCCTAATTTAGCAGTGTAAGATTAGAGGTAAGGCAGCTAGTCATCACCACCCACCGCCATCTCTTGGGCTACTCTTTTACCAACAAATAGTGGGATTGACCGTCACATTATAACACCCCACGGCTGAAAGGGCGATCATGTTTTGTGTGACGGGGATTCGAACCCGTGACCCTCAGATTGCGAGTCGATCCACCTGGCCATACCGGGCCACTTAAAAAGATAAGAATCTGATTTGGTGAAAAGAAATTATTTATAAAAGTTAGCAGAGCAAAACATATTTCATTTAAATTTAAAAAGTTGTGAATGAGGATAAATCCATTTAAAATTTCGCCATGGTTCGACTGAAAAAATCCATAAAATTTAGAACGCAGACTAAAAAATAGTGAAATGGCATGTCTAGGATTAACGAAAACCAGAATTTAATTTGGAAACAACATGTTAAAGATGTAATGAATTTTTAAGAATTCTTTTGTATAAGTTGTATAATTGAAAAAGATTCTTAAAATTAGATATGTAAAAATATTTTATTTTTTCATGGGTTCGGTCGGTATTACATCATGGAATTTTCACTTGGAGAAAAACCTATTTCACTATATTAAAACCGATTATAAATTGACAAAATATAATAAAACGAAACAATGCCTAATATATAGAGGGTTTAGTATGTTATATTGAGACGATTTTGAATATACAGATCAGTAAATTATGAGACAACTAAGCCGATATAAAGTTGAGGTCTAACAGAATATATCAGACCTGTTTTTGATAATTTTTAGCCTTTGTAGGTAGTGTTATGCGGCCAAAGATTGAACCTTTTGGAAGAGTGCAAAACAACTTTATTTAACACAAAATATTCATATAGTTAGATCATAAAGATGTGTTTAGAACAGCCATTTGTATCTTTATTACCAGTGGTATCTTTATACTTAATGTTGTTGTAAGACAAAGGAATATTATCAAATTGGGAGATCATGAACATCCAGAAAGAAACCTGCAACAAGCAGTACTCCAGCAGTCGTAAACAAAGTGTGGTGTTTTGTAACACTTGAGAACCCACGAACACAAAGGTCAGTGGCAAAAGCCTTCCATGTAGTCCAGGCAATGGTTAGACTGGGATTTCAAAAGAGATGGAGCTCTCTTTTGTGATCCATTTTGTAGTAGTAGCAGCGTGGTCCAACAGAGCACATTTTTCTTTCAATCAGAAGACCAGGGACACTATATATAATAACAATGACTTGAATCTTCAAGCGGCAAAATGCCGTTCCACCCTAATTTAACCCGCAACTCCAGACAAAATCTATGTCTGGAAATGAGGCTATCAGAGTCTGGTTTCGCTAAGATAAAGCTTCTGGTCATACTTCCAATTCAACTGTCGCATACCTTAAGCAGCTGAATAATGAAATGGATTTTAATGCTATTTTATAAAAAGTCATAGTCTGCAGTGCCTATGGATATCTGCGTGCTCGGTTTGCTGAAACGGTTTCTGGGAAACCATTTCTCTTGTACGCTAGATGAATTACGAAAACACCAAGCAAGGAGGAGTGGTGCGCTTTGTATATGATAACCTTCAACAAAGCTTTATGCAATGGAAACTATCTTTCAAGGCTATTTTCAATATGCATGGTCGTCAGTTAGAGCATGATTAGACGTGGCGAGGCTCCGGAACAATAAAGATAGCTTAGAATGATATAAACTTAATGACTTT